CGCCTTCTTCCGCTGATGCGTCTGGACCCCTTGGGTCTGCATCAGCCACTAACGAGTCGTTAAAAGGAGCCTGGATTTCCAGCGTGAGCAGGTCTTGCCGCCCCGGCAATGGGATCGGCGGGTGGGTGACCCCGCTGAAGGAGTGGGGGGCGCTGGCCGGCCCCGGCCTCGGCCTTGCTAGGTCTTCGCTCTGTACTCAACGTATAAAATCTGAAGGCCCCTCCTCGAATCCTGGTGTTTATATACAGGACCCAGCTACCTGCGGCCCGGGCCGGGTTCTGGTGGCTTCTAGAAGAGGAGAAAATGAGACCCCACTACAAGGTCTACAGACTATTTAAAGAGAGACCCCTCAATTCTGATATACTGCAGTGAGTCCCCCGCTCCGGCTGGAATCCAGCCAGCTGCCGGCAGGTCCCCGCTGCCTGGCCGCCGCTCAGAATACCGCGATTTACACGCGTGGGGATTCCGGCCGGGAAATCTCATGCCGCCGTTTGCCCAGCACCAGGGAGAGGTTTTTTTGCACGTTATTTGCAGTGAGTCGGGTTTCACGGTCAGCAAGCCCGGCTCGTATTCAAGGGCCGGGCATCCTAGGAGCGCGGCAAGAGGCCTGCTACAGCCAGAGCCTGCCCTGCCTACTTCGCAACTGGGTGGGGAGGGGAAGATGTTTCTTACGTCGTTGGAGCTGGATGGGTTCACGCAATGGGTGGGCGAGGGAACTTCCAAACGCAGGGTCCCTGGCATCCCGAGTGCCCACAGGCAGGGGCGCTCTTGAAAAACCTTATCTAGATGGTGAGGGTCTGTAAGGGGGAAGGGTAGATCGCTAGCCCAGACGGAGAGAGAAGTATTGATGGGTAGGTGGTGTTACCATCATGGGCCAGCTGTCCACAGCCCAAGGTGCTGTATAAACTCCAGGATCCCTACACCGAAGAGCTCACAATCGAGGGAGAAGGCAAGAGGAGGCAGGTGGAGATGGACCGACGGGCAGGGGAGCACAAAGGGACCAACGCTGGTGGCAGTGGCCTGTAGATAGATGGACGGGTACATATGGGGTAGAATGATAGACACAGATGTGGGGGTGTGTGGAGGAAGCTAGATGGATAGAGGGGATGGAGATGGGTAGACGGATGGATGGATGGATAGAAGTTCCTGTCAGATTATAAGTGGTGACCCTCATCAACAGGACTTACATTAGCAGAAAGAATTTCTTATCTATCTATCTATCTATCCCCATACACACCCATCTATCTATCTATCTCCATACACCCTATCTATCTATCTATCTATCTAATCGATGGTGACCGTCACTGTGGTATCTGAGCAACTCCACACTTGCCCCCAGTGTTTCAGCCAAGGTGGTTTCTATCCCCAATGTCCTCTTCAGCAGCTCTCGCGGTGAAGGCGTGCTCCTGGTTTGGCCCAAGAAGGCCGGGTTAACATGGACGTGCTGGCTGTCCTTTAACCATGTGAAAGCTGTGGGAACCGCCCTGGTTGCACGAGACAATAGGTGGATGCTGTTTTACTGATGGAGTTTTGTCCTTTGGCCCCCTCCCCTCCCTTGCTGCCTTGCTCTCCCCTCTTGGTACCTAAGCTGTCTCCTGGTCCTTTGCAGGTTGTGTTGAGTTTCTCCTCCCTTGGTGCTGGGCACAGTCGGCCTGTTTGGCCTTATCTGAGATTCGCTCAAGAACCATCCGCTCTGCAGCCGAGGCTGGGGCCAGAGAGGAAGTGGTTAGAAGCTCGGAGTCGATGCTTTGCCGTGATTTGTGTCAGTCTTGGCACTGTCTTTGTGACTGGAGTAAAAATCTTGCTACCGGCCACCAAAAACATTTCCAGAGCCTTTTCCCCTCCTTCCTAGCGGTGGGTTGTGTCAATTGACCCTCACCCCTGGCTGGTTTCTGTTTGGATTACAGACCCATGGGCGCTATCCAAGGGGGCGGCGGGGCGACTGATTAATTCGGCCCTCACTGGGCCATCTCTGGCTTAAGTGTCTGTAAATGTAACTTTTGCATCTGTCTGTTTTTTTTGTTTGTTTTTTAATGAGATTTGCAGCCTTCCTGACACACTGCTGGGAGTTGAACAAAGCAGTTACTCACCTTGGAGATGTTTCATGTTAAGAAAGGAAAGAAACAGGCTACAGAGGGTCTAAGAAACACCCGAGTAGTAAAGTCCCTGCCCCGAAGAGCTCACCATCTCAGTAGACAAGACAGAGGAAGGCCAGATGAAGGGGCTGGGATCCGGGACTTCAGGGTTCTTTTCGCTCTCCCCCTCCCAGAGATAGGATCAAACCTCAAAAGTTGTCACACTCAGCCCCTTCCTCTGACAGCTTGGACAGGACACCTGGGTTTTCTTTCATGCTTTAAGAGGGGAGGGGAGTCTAGTGGTTGGAGTGTAGGGAAGGCGGGGAGCCTGGACTCTTGGGGTCGCTTCCCAGCTTTGGGAGGGGAATGGTGTCTAGTGGTTAGATCAGCGAGCGACTAGGAATCAGTTCAGAGCTGGGATAGAACCCAGGTGTCCTGACTCCCAGCCCAGTATCCTAAACCCCCGCCCCCCGCAAAGAAAAAGAACGAGGGTTGTCAAACGAAGACATTTCTCTGCACCAGGTGGCCCTGGCCCCCTAAGCCAGCTCCACAGAACGCTGGCCTGTTCACAGGGGAGGAATGTGGGGGCATTGAGTTTATCCGATTTAAGGGGCTTTCTTTTTTTTAATCAGCTCCTTAAACCCGGCGTGCCGGGTTCCGACTCTCACCTGCATAGGCTCCTCGGGCGGATTAACGCCGCACGGTTCCCCTCCGCCTTGCCTTGCCTGTGGGAGCCCGGGCACGCTTCCGGCCGCACAGCGCTTCCCCCCCCGAGCCCCGGCTTTGTGCTGCGGTGAATGCGGCCCTCGCTGGACGATCGCACCCCGGCTGCGGCTTTTAGAGCCAATTCTCCCATCTCCCCTCGGTGCAGCGCTGTCCTGCCTGTGACCTTGAAAGCCATTGGAAAGCTCCTTTTCACGGGCCTATATCACAGCCGCGCTCCTTTGTCTGCCGCGTGTGGGGCTTTGAACCATAGAGTCGGAGAAATGCAGGGACCTCGAGAGGTCGTCCAGTCCAGCCCCCTGCGCTGAGGCAGGGCCCAGTCAATCTCAACCAGTCCTGGCAGGAGTTTGTCCAACCTGTTACAGTTAATCCCCAGCCCCGTTCGAACAGCCCTGAACGGATCTGAAGCCTGTTCTCAGGCCCCCCTCGGGCTTCCTTTCTCAAGACAAAACCTGCGCAGGGATTTTAACCTTCCCGCACAGCTCCGGGGTTCAAACCCTTTGATCATTTTTGTCGCTCTCCTCTGCACCCTCAAATTTATCCACCTCGCTCGTAACAGTCGGGCCCAGAACCAGACCCAGACTCCAGCCGAGGCCTCCCCAGGGCCGAGTCGAGTGGGACAGTTACCGCCCGGGTCTGTCGCACGAGGCTCCCGTTCACGCACCCCGGGATGACACGAGCCTTTTTCACAACCGCTTCGCACGGCTGACTCGTGTTCGATTTGTGAGCCGCTCTGCCCCCCGGCTCCTTCGCAGCAGTGCCACCCCCTCGCCACTTCTCTAATGTGTCAAGGTCATTTTGAATCTAATCCTGTCCTCCAGAGTGCTGGCAACCCCTCCCAGCGGGAATCGCCCGCTGTAGCAACGTGGACACTTGGAGGGCTATGGAGCAGTCACCCCCGCAGCAAACTCTCTCTGCAACCTCCTGGAGAGGGGGGAGATCGGCGAGGGGATGGGAAAACCCCGGCTGGTGGGGGATGACAGGGGGCATTACAGGATGTGTTCCAGGAGCTGACTGTATGTGCTGTCGGTGCACAGCAGGGGTAGGCCCGGAGGTTCGGGTTGGCCGCGTGGTTTAGGGGCGACAACGCTGGCCTGGGAATGAGGCGGCCCAGCTCTGCGGGGTGACCTTGGACAAGCTGCTTCCCCTCTCCGTGCCTCAGTTTCCCCTCCCAGCCTTTGTGTATTTCGCATGCAGGTTCTCCAGGGCAGGGCCCCTTGCTCGCCATGTGTGGATCCAGCGCCTAGCCCGGCCTGGGCCTCTGGCCGCTGCAGTAATCACCCTGCCCACGGAAAGGGCCAGGCATGCACTGGCACAGCAACACTCGCGTGTGAACCCTTCGGATTTAGAAACACCCTCAGAATGAGCCGGAGCTGGGGAGAGGCATGGGCTGCCGCGGGGTTCGGACAGGGCCAGCGCCTGACAGCTGCCGTTGTTCTGGACGGTGCGGGAAGAGGAGTCCTGTTTTCCGCGGCTCTCCCCTCCTCTCTCGCCGGCAGGGGGAGGGCGTGGGACATGCAGCGGCGTGTGTGTGTTGGATGTCGCCCGTCGCTGGGGTGTGCTGGGGTTGGAAACCCCTCTCCCACTAACCCTGGGACGTGCCCCAGCAGCGGTCAGACCCGAAGCCAGGAGGGGCAGCGTGGAATTGGGAGCTGCCTGGCTTACACAGAGCTGGGGGCTGGGGGGTGTTTCCAAAGGGGATTAGGGCCTGTGGGAGTTGGGGCCTGACTCCCTTAGGTGGCTTAGAGATTCCCAGCTGAAATGTCCAGTGGGGCGTGAGCCATAAGAATGGGGTGACCTTCCTCTCTAGGCGTCTCTGCTGTACCTTCTCCTTGTTGTTTCTCTTCTCTCCCTGTTCTGTTCCCTGCCCCTTCCCCCCCCCCCCATTCCATTTCCTCTGTTTCTCTGAGTCTTCCCCAGTCGTCCAGGCTGGGCCCCAGCTAGAGGATGAAAGCAGGAGGCTGGTCCCTCTGCTGAGCCAGCCAAGGAAGGGGCCAGGCAGTGCCAGCCTCGGGGTGTGATTTCCCACAGAGCCCAGACCCAGATTTCTGAGGGCTCAGCGCCCATGGCAGGGGCCCGAGCTCCGCTCCCATGGGGGCTGCGAAATCACAGAACGGCTCAGCTCCCAGCGGTTGTGATTTCCCAGCGCGCCCGGCTCCCCAACGCTCGCCGTCCGCCTAACTCGCCTTTGTCCCGCCCTAGACGTAGAGCAGATGGCCATCGACTGGCTCACTGGCAACTTCTACTTTGTGGACGACATCGACGACCGGATCTTCGTCTGCAACAGGAACGGGGACACCTGCGTCACACTGCTCGACCTGGAGCTGTACAACCCCAAGGGCATCGCGCTGGACCCGGCCATGGGGTAAGAGGGGGGGAGGAAAGGCCGGCTGAGCCGAGGTACCTGACCTGTGACCGTAACAAACCAATAGGAAACCATGGCGCTGCCCTTTGGTCAGTCCAGCCAGGGGGCCTGGCTCCCCCAGATGGGTAACCTCCTCTGTGTCTGCCTGGTCCTTCCCGGTGTATTTCCCGTCAGCCCCAGCTGAGATCGGGGCCTGGCTGTGCCGGGCGTGGCGCAGACGCAGGGCGAGCGATGGTCACGCTAGCAAGGGGCTGCACGGCCGCAGGGCTCACTCTTCCCGTTTCACAGACGGGGAGGCAGGCCTGGGGAAGACAAGAGACTGGCCCCAGGTCGCCCGGCGAGTCCGCGGCAAAGCTGGGAACTCAAACCTGATCTCAGTCCAGTGCCGGAACCCCCAAGGCCTGGGAATATCAGCAAAACCCACCTGGTGTTTTTATTGCTCTGTTCTATACCCAGGGTCCTTTAAACCAGTGGTTCTCAACCAGGGGCCCGGGGCCCCCTGGGGTCCACGAGCAGGTTCCAGGGGGTCCGCCAAGCACGGCCGGTGTTAGACTCGCTAGGGCCCAGGGCAGAAAGCCAAAGCCCCGCTGTGCAGGACTGTAGCCCAGGACCCCGAGCACACTGCCTGGGGCTGAAGCCAAAGCCTGAGCAACTTCGCTTTGGGGGGGCCTCCTGTGGCGTGGGGCCCTGGGCTGTTGCCCTGCTTACTACCCCTTAACACCGGCCCTGGCTTTTATATGCAGAAACCCAGATGTGGCACAGCTGGGCTGTGGAGATTTTGTAGCATGTTGAGGAGGCCTCAGAAAGAAAAAGGTTGAGAACCCCTGCTTTAAACGACCATCGGAGACGGAGACTTGTGACCCCTCCCCGTTCTCTGTCCTGGGGCGGTGCACCTTGGGGCTGATCTTGATTTGAGCCCTGGCAAACTCAACTCATTTTAACCCCCCGGCAAGGGCTAAAGTTCCTCATCAGTGAGGCTGCTTCCCGGTCGGGCCGGGACATTTTCTGCTGGCAGCTCAGTTCTTACCCCTGTCGTGCATGCAAGCCGCTGACCCACGCGGTACGGAGCTGCCACTGTCAGCGGGATTGCACTGTCTCCGTAACAGTTTTCAGGAACTAAGATGTGTCATATCCCCAGTGGAGGGTGAATGTCTCTCTCTCCACGTAGCTTTACATCCTGTGTTCGATTCAGGTAACGGCCCTCTGAGCAGCTGCCTTTTGGGAAATCGTGTGCGCCGGGGAGCTGGTCTGGTGACGCTGAGTCATCAGCCAGGCCGGCCGCGTGCTTGGTAGCTGCAGAAAAAAACGAGAGCAGGAGTGGAAGGCGTTGCTGTGGGCAGAACTGGAAGTGTGTGTGAAATCAGGCCAGGTGGCGTGTGAGTGTGTGCGTGTGCGTGCATGTGTAATCCTGCCATGTACTCTGTGCACACGCGTGTGAACCCCAGCCACGTGCATTCCCCGGCGGTCTCATCTTGACCAAACAAAATATCGGCTACAAAGGAGGCTTGTTTTTCTCAGCACTTTTTCATCTCCAGGCTTTTCGAGTCAGGCCTTGTTTAGAGGAGGAGACGCGGCCGGGGTGCAGGTGGGCTCAGCTAATGCAAGCTAGCGAGGCCTGGCCTCCAGCTGGTGGGTGACTTGCCCCCCTGCGGATGCAGAGTCGCACTCCTCAGTGGACTTGCTGTCCTGGTTGGCTGAGGCTGCAGAGACTGAAGGTCACGTCTGCGTGTAAATGCAGACTCTCTCCTGGGAAGCGGTGACTCTGAAACAGAGTTGGGGGGGTGGGGGGGGGGCGGAGGGATTGGAGAATCAGCTGCTGCTCTAAGACCTAACGCCATCCTGGGCTGCATAGCCTGGGGGATCTCAGGACTGGAGACCTGCTCTAGGAATTGTTTTGGGGGCGTTCTTTGGCCTGTACTATGCACAATCGTCCCTCCTGGTCTTGGAATCGATGCATTTTGGGATGCAGGGTTCTGGCCACCCAGGGGGCAGAATGAGCTGGGGCCGGACACAGCTCCTGGCCGGCTCTTGTTGCCACGTTATAAAACCATGGAAACGTCTGGCTGGACAGGACCTCGCGAGGTCATCTAGTCCAGCCCCCCCGTGCTGAGGCTGGACCGAATATCCCTCCGCGACGTTTAAAGAACAGCTGTTCAATGCAATCTCCTTGCGCCTCCGGAAGAGCAAGGCACCCCAGAGCTGCTCAAATCCCGCTACCCTCCGAGTGCGCTCGGGAAAGTGCTGGGGTTTAGCTAACGCAAGCTAGTTACGCCTGGCCTAAGCGCCCCGTTTTTCTTGCTCACGCCAAGAGCTCTGTGCAAGTCGTCCTTGTAGGCTTGTGTCTTTCTCCGCGCAGCGGCCTGTCTGACGCACACGGCGTGTTTGTAAAATGGTTTTAGCTCACACAGTTTGACCAAGAGAGATAAGGGAGGGGAGGGGATATATTTGGTTGGACCAGCGTCTGCTGGTGGGAGAGACAAGCTTTCCGTGTCACTCCAAAGCTGGTCTCTCTCATGGGCGGAATTTGCTCCAATAAAAGATATGACCTCACCCACCGTGTCTCTCCAATATCCTGGGACCAGCACGGCCACAGCAGCACCGCCGACAGTGCGTTGAAGAACTCCAGTGTAGACAGCACGTGGACAGTCGGTAGCTGGTCCCGGGGCCTGAACGCTGTCGGCTGACCTCAGCGAGCGTTGTGTCTCGCTCAACGGGGTCAGCTTCTGTGGGGTTGTCGCCGGGATCCTACTCCGGTTCCGCTGCAGCTGGGCCTGGCTTCCCGGCGCTGCAGGGAGAATGCGTCGGCACAGCCGGGCTCCAGCCGCGGCGCTGCCTCTGGGACTGAGTGGCTGGGAGCTGCGCTGGCTGCCCGGCCTACGGCTGGAAGCCGCGCCCTGCGTGTCTTACAAGCCCATCGGCCGCCTGCCTGAGGCGGGTGACCTCGCAGTCCTGGGACCTCCAGCTAAGTCCTTCAGCCGGCAACGCGGCTGCGTCTGGGTACAGGGACCCCAGCTGGTAAGTTCCTTACCCGTGGCTAGGTCCTGAGTTTTCCTTCCTCCTGCAAGCAGGCTAATAAACGCTTTTGTAATCGCAGCAAGTGGTGCGTGGGTGTGTGCGTGCATGCGTGGGTGTGGACCTGAGTGCACGTGGAGATTCTCACCCCCATCCTCTGAGCTCTCATGTCCCCCCTTAACTCCACCCACAGAAAAGTCTTCTTCACCGACTACGGGCAGATCCCCAAGGTGGAGCGCTGCGACATGGATGGGCAGAACCGCACCAAGCTGGTGGATAGCAAGATCGTCTTCCCCCATGGCATCACCCTGGACCTGGTCAGCCGGCTGGTGTACTGGGCCGACGCCTACCTGGACTACATCGAGGTGGTGGACTACGAGGGGAAGAACCGGCACACCATCATCCAGGGCATCTTGGTGAGCGAGCGCCAGCCAGAGAGGGGTCCCCAGAGATCAGAGCTGTGCATATGATCCCTGTTATTTATTAGGTGCATTGCCTCAGAGCCCCAGCCCTGTGCCGGGCGCTGTACAAAAGGCTTACCCCGGCTCTTGCTTCCTTTCGATACCCCCGCTGGCCTGGTCTAGGGTCTTGTCTAGACGCAGGCGTTTCAGCAGCGCAGCCCGCTCCTAAACAGACCCCTGCAGTGACAAAGCAGGTTTTGGCTTCTGGCCCCGGGGGTCGTGTGCCGGCACAGTGGCACCGGATTCATTTAACAAAGCGATTTTGAAACCCCTGGTGCACACGGCTGTGTGGACTCTCTGGTTCTGGTTTAAGTCAAGTGTAGCCGAAGTCGAGCAGGAGCAGCTTTAAGCTAAATAGAAGTGAGCCGCTCTTAAACCCAGCAGCCGTGTCTAGATGGGGATTTGCAGGTGTGTTAGAAGATGGTAGCGAACAAGAGTTGTAGGCCAGGAAGTCTAGGCGGTAATGCCTGCGATGCTGGCTGGGTTAATACCCCCGCTCCCCGGACACACGGTTGTAGTGCATGTTACCCGGCACCTTCTAACAGCATTTCTAGTGTAGCAACTAGTGAGACCTCGGTGAGGCCTCGGTGTGACGCCGAGGCACCGTAACAGGTCCTTAACGGGCGTGGAACCGTAACCGACCGGCCTTGTCTGTGCTCGCTGCTCAGTCGAGCCGACTGGGAATTTTCCCACTAAGCAGTTTTTCATCAGAAAAGACCAGTTAGAACAAACAGAAACTGTTTGCGGGAACGTGGCAGGTCCAGGGAATCTCCCAATTGGAAACGTTTTTTGGGGAAAAACAAAGTTTCCAAACTGGCCAAACATTTTCAAAACAAAGGGTCAAACACTTGTTTCGTTTAGCAATTTGAGTTAATTTCTACAAAAGAAACAAGAGGAGTTTGGTTTTTTTTTAAATCTGGGAAATTCTCGCGGGATGGGAAAACCATTTCCCACCCAGTTCTGGTGCTGAGTGGGGTCCGACACGCGCATGGATCAACCCGCTGGCTCCGCCTGCCTCCTTTCCCTAGTCTGGTCAGGGCAGATTTGCATGGTTTCCCATCGCGCCCCGGAGGCCGCTGCGTTAAGCGCCACCCCCTGCACTAGTGCTCAGAGGGCGCAAGAGGTGGGGATCCCAAGCTCCGCTCCTGAGGCTGTCTGCTCACGCTCGCCCCGGTGCGGTGCCTTTCAGATCGAGCATCTCTACGGCCTGACCGTCTTCGAGAACTACCTCTACGCCACCAACTCGGACAACGCCAACGCCCAGCAGAAAACCAGCGTCATCCGGGTCAACCGCTTCAACAGCACCGAGTACCAGGTGGTCACCAGGGTGGACAAAGGGGGAGCCCTGCATATCTACCACCAGCGACGGCAGCCCACAGGTAAGGGGCTGGCGTGCGGGAACGAGCCCCTCCCTCACCTGTCGGGGCTTGGGAGCCTCGGAAGTGATTGAAGTGCCCAGCGAAGGTGCAGGGCTTGTCAGTTCTCCTGGTGGGCTGGGACGGGACAATGCGGTGTCTGGCTTCGGGCTGCCCCGGGGCCTGGCTTATTTGTTTGAGCAAAGTGTTCCCCGTGCCTGAAAGCCCAACGGGAAAAGGAGCGTGATTGTTCCAGGAAAGCAGAGGGGCATAGGCTCGAAATTAGACGTGATTCACAAGGACGTAGGAGCCGACTCCTGCGCCTCATCTAGTGCTGTATCCCACCATGTGGGGACAGACACACCGGTCCATCCAGTCCTGTAGCCTGCCCATGCAGGGTCAGACCC